ATTTACTTCATTTTTTCATAGAGTACTAGATGTCCTCTTGAATCGTAAAATACTTTCTGAAAGCTTTTCTTATTTCATAATAATATCATTTAAATATGAAATGATACATTTCTTATGAAATTTGTTGCTAATATTATATTGAGCATGCCAGGTTTGAGTGTTTACTTTAGGAGTGTCAGTGTCTGGTTTGAAGTGGATAACATTTATAAGGTCATGTGAGAATGACCTCACCAAAAAAAAAGGCAGAAAATCAATACAGGACACATTGACCATCCTGAACACACATTATTAAACCTGACACTGAACACCTGAACTGCACTAAACAGTGATTTTTTTCTCTGAAAATTGTTTTCGCTGTAGGCCTGGCAGTAAAATTTCCAAAAAATTGCTCTTGGAGCACTTTTCAAACACTTTACCAACATTTGAAACTATATAAACCACAAAAAGGCAGAAGATAACTTCTGTAAAGAAAAACATTGGTTATGATTACTGTGCGTGTGTGTGTGTTTCGACCTATAGGAAAGTTGCCATGTCCTCCAAACAGACCGTTCCGCTGCAGGAATGACAGAGTATGTCTGCGGACCGAACAAATCTGCAACGGAGTGAATGACTGTGGCGACAATTCAGATGAAGTTGACTGTGGTGAGTTGGGAACTTCAGTTATTTTTTTTATACTTTTATACTTTTTTTTCTATAAACCATCCCTCTTTCTTTCTTTTCTCTAGCGGATGTGGTCAAAAGGCCGAGGCCATGTGGCAAGTCTGAATTCTCCTGTGCCAATCACCGCTGCATCCCAGCTGAGCTGCAGTGCGACTTTTTTGACGATTGCGAAGACGGCGGATCGGATGAGCGCGACTGCAAGGCATGTAAGTGTACCTCCTTGTGTAATCCTTTATCCTTTGCATGTTCCGTTTCTGTATTTTGTGGAGTAAAATCTTTAAAGTGTCTCATTTTGTCCCCTGTGGGTCACAGATTCTGTAGATGGTGCGTGTCGAGACTTGTGCGGAGACGACGCTTTCTGCAACCATACAAAAACACCCTCAGTCTGCCAATGCAAAGTCGGATTTCAGAGGAACCAGAAGAACAAACAATGTGAAGGTACAGAATTAAAAAAAAAAAAAACACCATTTATTTGTAACGTGACCCTTTTCCCACTGAAATCATCGTTTTTTTATTTAATTATAAATATTTATTATATTTTTATTTTTTATATTTATTATTATATAATATTTATTATATAATTATATATTTATTGTTTGTGTGGTTGGTTTGGTTTAGTTTTTCAGTTGTGTTCAGTTTTTTTGTATGTCTTTTGGTTCATTGTTCAGTTTGGTTTTGGTTTGTTTTTATTTTGTCTGGTTTAACATTTTAGTTTTCTTTCTGTTTGGCATATTTTTATGTGTTGTTTTTAACTTAATATTTGTTTTGCTTTGGTTATTTATTTATTTAAATTCCAAATCTCTTTCCACTGACATCACATAAAAAAAAAAAATTCTCAATCAGTCATTAATTCATTACAAATAATAATAATACTTTTTTCTGTTAAATATTGAATTTATTTAAAAAATACATCTATCCAAAAATAATATATATAAAATATATTAAATATTTAGTATTAATGGTGCAAAATTAGAATTTTAGTTCATGTAGTTACATTTTAGTCCTGGTACTTTGCTGTATTTTCTTGTCTTAGGAGGTTTGAGAATTACTGTTATAGATTAAATGGAACAAGGTACATCAACATGAATAGCTGTCTTTTAAAGCTGAATTCTGTGTAGCTCTGTGGCTCAAGAGATTTTCACTTGGATTCTGCAGTATATTGTAGCATGCAGAACGTTTTGAAGTTTGAAGTGATTTATAATGGGTCAATTTTTCTTTTTGTCAACAAGGTTCTCAGACATGATTCAAAGATTTATCAAGTGTTGGATGTTTCCACTTCAGTTTTGAGCAAGAGCTGATTCGTGATATAATAAATCATTCTGTAAAAGCCTTACATATCTATTGTTTTATTATTTATAACTGAATACTTTTGGTGAAATATTGAGCTGGAAACATGAACCGGTGCTATTTTTCATTAAAATAAATGACATTTGGTTTGGTATTTTGTGATATAACGCAAAGACACAATGCAAATACTTGCCCCTAGCACATCCCCAGTGGTTGCTTGTCTTTTGTACAAAGCCCACAATGCAAAAGTCTCTTTGTATTCAGTTCCAGTGCTGGCATTAAACAGTTGGAGGTATGTCAGCGGTCGCTTCAGGGTTAGGTCGCTTCATCTCACTGAGAATAACAAGAAGCCCAGAAAGCAGCAGGCGCTGAACGCAGATAGCAGAGATTCAGCTGAAATCCCAAACAGAGTGTCATCCCTGCAGCACTTGTTAAAAATGACACTGGAGAGTGTGTGGGAGAGGCTGATGGATGGATATGTTCCTCTCTTTCCTCAGAGGTGAACGAGTGTCTGCGGTTCGGAAGCTGCTCGCAGTATTGCACCAACACCAAGGGCTCGTACAAGTGCACTTGTGACCGAAACTTCAAGGAGATCGATGGGGAATGCATCACAAAGGGTAAAATATATTGTTTAATACAAATATACATCAAAAGGATTTGGTTTTCTGGCATTCTGTTACATTTTTATAAAAGTAAACTGTTTTAGGCTGATTTTAGTTGCTTGCCCTGATGCAAAACACTTCAGGTTTCAAGTTAACGTTTGATTTGGTTTTCTCGAGTCATTGTTTGAACATCAATGATTAAAGACATCTGTTTTGCTTTTTTTTTCTCTTTTTTTTTTTTTTTTTGGTTATGTTTATTTTGATTTGGTGTATTTTTTATTTTTTTTTTGCTTATTAATTAATTAATTTATTGTTTTGTTTTACTTTTTGTTTGATTTATATATATATATATTGTGGCTTGTTTTACTGTTTTTCTTTTTTTTTTGTTTTTTTTTTTTTTTTTGGTTATGTTTATTTTGATTTGGTGTATTTTTTATTTTTTTTTTGCTTATTAATTAATTAATTTATTGTTTTGTTTTACTTTTTGTTTGATTTATATATATATATATATTGTGGCTTGTTTTATTTTTTATTTTGATTTGTTTTGCTTTTGGCTTTGTTCATTTTTATTTTTATTTTTATTTTATTTTTTGTGATGTTTTGGTTTTGTTTTGTCTTTTTGTCTGTATTTATTTATTTTTTTTTATCTTTTTTGTTTTGCATTTTGCTTTTTTTTTGCTCTGTATTTGGTTTTGGTCTTTGGTTTTGTTTATTATTATTTTTATTTTTTTTGTTTGTGGTGGTTTGGCTTTGTTTTTACTGTTTTTTTTATTTTATTTTTATTTTGTCTTTTTATATTTTGCTTTGTTTTGTTTTTTGTTTGCATGGTGTTATGGGTTTTTCTTTGTTTTCTCATGTTTTGTTTTGTTTCACTTTTTTGTTTTATCTATTTTTTACTTTTTACGTTTTGATGTGGTCTTTTGGTTTTGTTCATTATTTGCTTTATTTGTTTGCTTATTTATTGGTATTGGTTATTTGTTTGTCTTATTATTTTCTTTTTGCTTTGATTTTATTTATTTGTTTGTTTTGTTTATTTAATTTGTTTCACACATGTATCCCTGTGGTCAGGACCAGAAGATCAGGTCCTCTATGTGGCCAATGACACAGAAATCCGCAGTTTTGTGTATCCTTACAACCAGTCTCATGGACATACTCAGCTGGCCCGAATCTCTGACAGCGCTCGCATCATCGGCATGGACGCGCTATTTCACCATCACAAGTTTGTGTGGGCCACTCAGTTTAACCCCGGGGGAATATTTTACAAAGACCTCCAGGACAGGAGTGCAGTCACGTCAAACAGTGGAGTCATAGTAAGTCAATAACAACCATTAATACAGATTTCAGCAGTTCTGTTACATTAAACCTCTAACTTTTTAATACTTCTTTCAAATTCTATTTGATATTTTCCTCATGAAACCTCAGAAACTAGCATGGTAACATACCTAAGGTGGTGCTGAAATTTCACTACGCTCTATATTTGCAGTGTCCAGACTTCCGGAGGCCCAGGGACATCTCGGCCGATTGGGTGACAGGAAACCTATACTGGACGGATCACTCCCGGATGCACTGGTTCAGCTACTACACGGCACACTGGCGCAGACTTCGCTATTCCATTAACGTGGGACAGCTGGGGGGTCCCAACTGCACTCGGCTCATCACAGACATTGACGAGGAACCTTTCGCTATTACCGTTAACCCTGTACGAGGGTAAGTGTCCAATTTTGAGGCCTGACTGTTACGTCAGGCAACAAGTGTATAATGTTCTCCATTGTTCTTTAGGATGATGTACTGGACTGTGATTGGTGACCACTCTCACATTGAAGAGGCCGCCATGGATGGGTCCTTGCGTCGCATTTTGTTGGAGAGGAACTTGCGTAGACCGACGGGTGAGATGCTAGTCAGATCACATTTATTTGAATGAATCATAACATTTATTTGAATTATCAATTGTTTGTTCGAGAGAGAGAAAGAGAGAAAGAGAGAAAGATGACAGTTGTGTGTGTGAATTACCTGCATCTGTGCATCTCTCTCTACAAACAATGACGTTGTGAGTTTAGTTACTTAAACAGAGATTTTACCTCCTCGTTGCTTAGGAATATAATGCCGTTATATGTATATAATGTATATATTTATTTATTTATTCAATAATTAATGTTTTATTGTTTTATATTTGTATTAATTATATTAATTATATTATATATTAATATAATTGTATTGTATTGTAATAAAATGTTATAATATAATTGTCTATATCTTTTCAGGACTTGCAATTGATTATTACAACCAGCGGCTGTACTGGTCAGACTCTGAGCTGTCTCAGATCGGGAGCGTGCGTTTCGATGGCTCTGATTCTCTGGTGGCTGCTGGCGGTCATGATGGTGAGTTTGCATGGTTTGGAAATTGTACAATATTCAGAATCAACCTCCAGTTTTTTATCATGGGAAAAAGAAAAGAAAAAAGAAAACACACACACCCAAACATCTTCAGCTCAGGCCAGCCATTGATTCCAACATTTGAAGAGCTGCAAAAGCTAAGCTTAGTGTAGTTTATATAAACTCACCAGATTTCCATTTCTATTGCCTTTCAGACTGTGATTGGAAAAATGCTATTTTTGGGAAAGCATCAAAGTTGAGTTGAGGATGAATTTGAATCCAAAGCTCTTGCAAAACCTAGTTAACTGTCTGCTGCTGACATAGACAGCTACTTTCTAAGCCAACTTAGTAGGAAGTGCCTGATTTTGCAACAACTTCATCCTTGAGACAATCAACACACAACTGGACTATAGGGATAGACATTTTTCAAAAATATTGTATTTGAATATTTGGGCTCATTCAAAAAAAACGAATATTCGGTTATTTAAATGACGTTTAACAAGAAAGACGTTATTTTTTAATAATCAAATTTTTAATGTTCTACAACAACATTACGTTTTGAGAATTTTGAGATAAACAATAATGTCCACATGCGCGGATGAAAGTTGGCTCCTCAGTCTGATAACAATAAGAACGCGCACCGACACAGACGTTCCAGAGACACAAAGATAACGGTGTGCTAACTTTCTTACAGCATTTTGTGTTTTCTGTCCCTCGAGGAAACTTGAAGGAAGCATATGTCTCAAGATCATCAGATAAGCTCTCTTCTCGGCTCACTCGCGGTACAGTTGCGCTTACCTGCAGACATATGACTGACAGTTAAAGCAACCAATCAGGTTTTGTTTTGTGCCGTGTCATGTTTATGGTTGTGGAAATATCCCCACAATAACAGACCGGTGTGTAAAACTCTTGGACGTATTTAAAAGAGTCTATGTTGCGAACTTTACATATTTCACATGCTTTTGAAAATCCAATGTTTAGTTAATCCTGATAAGCGCTCATTGTTGCAGTTGTAAACACATTGAATTACCTGCATCTGTGCATCTCTCTCTACAAACAATGACGTTGTGAGTTTAGTTACTTAAACAGAGATTTTACCTCCTCGTTGCTTAGGAATATAATGCCGTTATCCAGTATCTAAGCCATTGTATTAATAAAAGTCGCGGGGCTCCTGTGTTTGCATAGGTTTATAAATGATTTACCTTACAAATCTGATGAAATGGCACACGTTACATTCCCAGATTAATGTTATAATAAACCCAAACTCACAGCAATATGCAGAGATGGAGTTTGAGACGCTCCACGCATGTAAATGATAGCAGTTTGTGTGGAGCAGCATTTACTGTGAACGGAGCCGCTCTGAGATGCATGTATGTGTGTAACCTACACGCATGTAAATAATTAAAGCGCACATATTAAACCGGCATTGCATATATTTATTTAATTGCATCATAGCGTTTGTGAATTCACTATAGCATTATGCTTTATTATGATTTTTAAATGAGTTTAATATATCACGCAGCCTTGGAAGACGGTCTAATAATGATTTTCATGGATTCTCATCTGTGAAATGCACCATTTCCGATAATTTGCCGATTACTTGACGCAGGCAAAATGCAATTGAGTAGTTGAATTGAATCGGCCGTATGCATCAGACGTTCAGCCAACAGTCCGTGGGCGTGACGTCTGAGGCTGAGACTCTGTTCACAGAGACTAGTCTTATTTGTCTTATTTGGTTTTGTTACAGGAATTTCTCAACCCTTCCGAATTGACCTGTTTGAGGACTACATCTACGGGGTCAGCATGAAACACGACATCTTCAGGGTTCATAAATATGGGAAGCTGCCCGCCGAAAAACTCAGTCTGGGTGTGGAGAGAGTGTCCAGCATCTTGGTCTTCCATCGGTACAAACAACAGGAGGGTGAGTCTTAAAAGGTGTCTCAATCGGCAAGGATGATTTGAAGAGTTAATTCACTCACAAATGAGACTTCTGTCATCATCTACTCACCCTCATGTCATTCCAAAACCTTATGACTTTGTTTTTCCTTGAAAAATACAAACTAAGTTTCTGTTTTCCATTACGATGAAAAGGTTTAATAATCAGAAATGTAAAAAAAAAAATGTTTGGAAGGACATTAGAGTGAATAAATGATGACAGAAGTTAAATCTTTTGATCAAATGTTCCTTTAAAGCCATCATGGTTGTGCATCTTCCCGAGGACCATTCCAGCATGAGATTTCTTGCCAGTAGTCAGTTTAATTTCATGTTTGAATTGTTGAAATCTGATTGGACTTCTCGTCTGCGGCCAGATAGACCTTATTACAATCACATATTACTGTCAAATGTGTTTATTATGCAATTACCGTCTCTAATCAGATGGATGAAATGTTGTATTTTGTTAGAATTGCAGAAAAGCAATTGGAAAAACGGAGTCTCCAATGTTTTGAAGTCATGAAATCAAAATCTGGCTCTACTTATATTCTGAATACATGTCTCTAGTCTTATTTTGCACAATTTGTTAGCACACAATAAAAATAAATAAATAAAAACCTTTGTAATCCTTTTAATGTTTCATATTTGAATATGTTAGTGCTTTTATTGTTATATAAATATATAATATTTATTTAACAATAAAACTACTGCTAAATGTAAATATTTAATATTGTTAATATGTATTAGTACTTGTTATATTACATATGTTTTTATATAGAAACTAAATAAATATAAATAATTATG